CCTCCTCTACTAGAGGAAAAATTTCCTCTCTCCCTACCATCCCCCTTGCCTCTAAGGCCACAGATTCATGAGGGGCAGTCCTAACAGTGAACACTGAGGAAAAGAAGGCATTCAGCAACTCTGCTTTCTCTGTGTCTTCCACTACTAGGGTGCCCACCTCATCCATCAGTGGGCCCACATTATCCCTAACCTTTCTCTTGCTGTTAACATACTGAAAAAAACCCTTTTTGTTATTGTTGACATTGGTGGCCAAGATGAGCCAAGATTTTCCCCCTGCATATCCTCACTGCTTCATGGTATTTCTCCTTATCTGCCAGGCCCTTTTTCCAAAGATTATAAGCCTTCTTTTTGTTCCTGAGTTCCAGCCGAAGCTCTCTATTTAGCCAGGCTGGTCTTCTTTCCTTCCTGCTTGGGACTTGGGAATAGCTTTACCTTGCGCCTTTAAGAGTGCCTCCTTGAAGAATGACCAGCTTTCCTGGGCACCCTTGCCCTCGAGGACCATCTCCCAAGGGACACCCCCAATCATGCTCCTGAAGAGGCCAAAGTCTGCCCTTCGGAAGTCCAGGGTGGCAGTCCTGCTGGCCCCCCGCCTTGCTTCAGTGAGAATTGAAAATTTTATCATTTCATGATCACTTTGTCCAAGACGGCCTCCAACGTTTACATCCCCCACAAGACCTTCCGAGTTAACTATCAGCAGGTCCAGTAGGGCACTTTCCCTGGTCGGTTCCCTCACCAGCTGCGTTAGGAAGTTGTCTTCCACGCATTCCAAGAATCTCCAGGACTGTTGCCTCTCTGCTGTGTTATATTGCCAGCAGATATCAGGGAAATTGAAGTCCCCCATGAGTACAAGGGAGAGTGATCGTGAGGCTTCTGTCACCTGCCTATAGAATACTTCATCAGTCTTTATATCCTGGTTTGGGGGTCTATAACAAACTCCCACCACAATGTCTGCCTTACTGGTCTTCCCCTTGATCCTTATCCACAGGCACTCGACACTGTCATCATGCATATTGCTAAGTTCTAGGCATATAATACTGTTCTTAACATAAAGGGCCACCCCACCTCCTCTCTTTCCTTGCCTGTCCCTTCTGAAAAGTTGGTAACCATCAATTGCATGGGCATCAATTGCTCAGCATGGGCAAACAGCCTTTCTCCTGTTCCTCAGGGATGTGTTCAGCCTTTGCTGAGTTTTGTGCTGATACAGATAGCTTTAAACTAATCAGATTAAAATGAGGCATATCATTGAGTTACCAGAGATGGAAGAGAATCTGTGACATGTTTCTTAGTGACTTGTGAGGCACTGTGTGTTTGTTTGCTGCACGTCACTAAGAAGCAGACTTCAAAGTGATGATTTAGCCTTTCTATTAACCTTCATCGATGAGAGACCTTAGTAATGCTTATTTAATCTACTTTTGAGCTCAAAAATACAGTCTTGCACCTTGAAAGCTGATCATGAATGAATCTATGGTATGAAATAGATTTCAAGGAGATTATTTATTTATTTGCTTTTTCTCTCTGTCTCATATCAACACTATTTAATATATAATATTAATCACAGTGTTATCTGTATCAGTAAATATAAACCCATAAATTCTCTGTATTGTATTTATATTCATTGCTTGTAGTGTGCCGTGTTGTATCTGTACTGCTATACGTGTTACAAGAATGTGTCTAGGTGTCACGGGTGCTGTCATCCTGTTGTCTCTGAAGTTAAATGCATCAAACTGTTCCCAATAGTAATATAAATGTTTCATAGTTCTAGTATGACTCAAATGTATTTTCACATTTTCATATTAACTACATTTTAGATTTGGTTGAAGGCGATTATATAGCGTATACTTATTTATCTTTTTGTTTTGTTTTGTTTTGTTTTAATAGGCAACACATTTCCAGCACTGGACAAATATTTTATTTGTCTGTCAATTTATTCTTTCCTGCTTGTTGGGGTAAGGACACAGGGCAATCAAGTAAGACATTTTAATGACAGTGTTTCAAATTGCAAATCTCAAATGTAAGGCTCCTTAGTAAGTTATGTTAAAATTAAAATATATTTTCCCACAGGCTTCTTTCCTGCCTTCTGATTATTTCTAGTAGTGTAACTGTTTCAGTACTATCTGTGGTGTTGACCTCACAGTACAGTGGTCAGCAGTAGGACAATTAGCCTTTTACTTTCTGTACTCAGTATCTCTCTGCTGGCAGTCTATTCTGATTATCTAATTTCTTTGCAGTTAGTAGAACGTAAGCCCTTTAATACAGGGACTGTTTCATTGTATTTGTTCTGTAAAGTACCTGGAAAGATATGAGACACTCAAAAGTAATGAAATAATGCTTTGTTTTTCTTGGAACTGCAGAGTCAAGGCAAGAATAAAAAAATCAGTTGGACCCTGTTCTGCTCTTTGACACATCACCAGCCAAGGGGTCAAACTGACTTCAAATACTGACATTTAAGAAGCACAGAAAATAGGGGTGCTAGAGCTCAAGCAGCACATTTTAATCTGTATTTTGAGTAGTCTGTGTGTGCACATCAACGACTTAAAATACAGATCCACAGAATCTTTTTTTAGGGCTTGGAAGAAGCGGGATTGAAGATCCCAGCAAAATCCTGATCCAGAAAATGTTGAACATTTCAAAGTGTTGCTAAACTTCTGAGGTCCCTGGAAGGAATTTATAAAAATTTCTTCTTTACTTTATTTAGGTTTCTCTTGATGTATTCTACTGTCCTATGCAGTCATTACAATTCTGCGCTTACAACGACAGTGGTTGGTGCCATCAAGGTGAGTTATGGAGAAGAGGGAGATGAGAATGGGAAGAGCATTGACTCAGCAGTGACCCTGATTATACTTGGAGCTGGAAACTCGAAATGAGGGCTAATACTGAGACAGTGCTTGTGCCATACATTTTAAAGATCCGCACAACAAAAGCGACCTTGTTTTCTTCCACTGAAGCTTAGGTATACTCTAGAAAGCAATGTGAATATTTATTTATTTTTATTTTTCCTACATGAGATACTTGAACCACTTTAATTAAAATGTGCTTCTGTTCAAGTTGCTGTGGGTTAGTCAATGTAGCCTGATGCTGATCCATTGCAAACTGATCTAACCCACTTTCACTTTGGGCTGATCTAATTTCCATTGCTGCTAATAAATAGTGCATTCATAGATACAGGATAATGGCTAAGCTGTAGGAAGGAGTTTATTACTTCATGGTTAACTGCTTCAGTTTCTGTGAGAACTTGTGTTCTAGCTGAATGGATTCTTCCATTTTGGTTTGTATAAATTCTGGTCAATTTGGTCAACACCAAAACATGCCTGTCTTAAAAACTGAACTTGATGCCCTTACAGCCTGTTTTCTCTAACTCAGTTTAACTTTAAACCAGTGCAACTTCCTTTGTGTTGACAAGGCCAGTGTGTCTGTAGTGGGAAGATCACTGACTGCCAAAGCACCTTTTTGTAGGCCAGTTTGGAGAGAAGCTTGGAGCTGTAACCTGGAAGAGTTTTAGCAAGAGTTAAAACTTGTGCAGTTGTGGGCCAAACAACTATCAGAATCGAAACTAGCTTAGGCACAGGAGTAAGAGTCCTCAGGGTGCTCCCTTTCATGGATGACTGAGGAAAATAATACCTCCAGCATAGAAAAATCAGCAAAAAGAAGATGGTACTTCTCTTTCTACAGGTGTTTGGTTTTGGTTTTTGCTTTTTGAAAGCTGCCAAGGTTAATCTAGTAGTTTTCATTCTGTGGTCCTGAAAGCATTCTTTTAAATTTTGTGTGTCTGCATTGAACCATTAAGATGGTTCACTGCAGATGCAACACTGTTTCTATTTTCTGAGTAATAATTAGTCTTTGAGAAATTCTCAACAGCTTTAAAGTTGAGAAGCACTTTGTGATGCATTAGGCACCAGCAGAAATTGGTAGAAATGATATACTTGTCCAGGTTAACTGCTAAAGCATTTGAAACCAACAAAGTATTGGTAAAGCGATCACACAGTTCCATGGCTTTCCTTCTGTCTATAGGGAACAATTTTCCAAAAGCTTGATGGGAGCAGGGTGAGGGGTAGAATCTTTAACTTTAAACTGTGCCTGTCTTGAACTTCAGTCAAGTGCTTTCAATGCATATTTAATTGACAAAGTAAGGCAGTAAGTCTTTTAAAGCAATAGTAAGGAGCCTTTACTGTAACGTTAAAGCATAATTTTTATACTTGAGAATGCCAAACCTGCTTTTAAGAAATAGAATTTGAAATGAGCCTTCCAAAGATTAAAACAAAGAACTTTTTCAGAAAGTGACCGTAATTCCATTTTACCTGACATAAAATAGCTTATTTTCTTCTTCTTCTTCTTTTTTTCCTCCAGAAAGTCATTTGGTGCATTGCCTGCATTTAGAAAACATACTGATTTTATTATTCTGTTTTGCTGTTACATTACCCACAAAGCTGACATCCTGTGAGAGTAATTTGAACAGTGATTTTAGAGCGACCAGCATTAGAGTATAGCTATTTCCTTAGAAAAGTAAATTAATTGATATAATTTACATTCGTGGAGATCGAAACTGACTTCAAGATATGCATGGCTTTTGTTTCCTTTCAGAATATATCCATTGCTTACATCGGAATGTTGATTGGTGGAGATTACATATTCTCTGTGTTAAACTTTATAGGGCTAAATATTTGGTGAGTAGAACTTGAATAGGTTTTATTTGTTAAAGCTGCAGATTTCTCAGTGAGGTACAGCTTTATGTTTTGTTTGATTTGGCCCATGTGGGTGATGCAGTTTTGAAACTACTGGCCTGAGGACTCACTGCCTTAGGGTGTAAAGTTCATTACGATTTGTGATGTCTTTTCCTGTCTGTTTTCAGATGTTGAATGTTACTGTGGTAAGATCTTAACTATGGAAACATGCCTGCAGTTTCACTATGTCGGGTTGAAGTTCATTCCTTTTTCATGAGCCACAGTTCTGAGCTGTCAGGCTTCCAAGTAAAAGCCAAGTGGTGTGGGAAATAAGAACACTGACTGAATGAGTTGTGCCCGTTATAAATATGAGTTATGATGTGTGAGTTGTTACTTTTTGTGTTTGGATGAGCTGTTGCATCTGTTTGTATGAATCTGTTGGAGCAGCTGATAATTGATGTTTATCTATTCAGGGCTCATTTCTCAGATGGCTTACATAGCTCAGAGGCATTCCTAATTTATGCTATATTTATGCTATTTACCTATAAAATGGTATATACAACATCAGATATCTCTGACACATCTAATCATTCTCTTTTCTTAAGTATGGCAGGAGGACTGAGATACTCATTTTTAACATTAAGAGGAAACAGCAAGTCTACACAACCTGGGGATGAAGAGAATGTGCTTCCTGAGTCAAAGAGTTAGCCAAAAGGCCTGCCTTGAAAGAGGCTGAAGATACAAGTTTGTTTAGCATTGCTGGGGATTTAAATAAGTACGTGCTGGAACATATTTGGAACAAGAAACAAAAAATCTACCTCAATTGCCACAGATGTGCACACAACTCATTGATTCAGAAATATTCTTGTACGCTATGTTTTTTACATATGGACAAGTTTAATTTTTCGCCATGAACTAATTTATAGGAAGGAATGCCATGAGCAAATCTCAAGTTGTAAATTTCTTCTTTTACCTGTACATTGGTGCTATTTGTTCTATTTCAGTGTCTACCTGCACTCTTTGAGGCAAAACTGCCTGTAAAGATCATGAGGCTTGATTCACCATTGCCTTATGCCATATGCAATCTTTGATAGCAGTGAAGAAATGAAAGATGATAGTGATTCAGAATGATTTCACGTATGCATTTGTTCTTGTGTAAGTGACTGTAGAACATATGGGGCAAAGAGCAGACAGGATCATTCCCTGTGTAAGTCTTGACTGAAGAATTCAGGATACGGCCTAGTGTGCCTGGTATGCATTGTGTAGGCATTTTCTCTCAATCTTTTCCTCATCCTCAATAACATCATGGTGTTCTGCTGCAGTTGTCCCTGTTGTTTAAGTGAAATCTCCTAACTTTGCTGCAGGACTGTGGAGAGAAGGAAATTGAGAGATTTTTTTGTATTTAAAAGGATTGTTTTGTGTGTGTGAGGCCTGTACCAAACAGGTAATTAGGAGAGATAACAAAGGTGAATATTTTTTTCAGGTACATTTGTTTTCTCACAGTCTCCTCCTCTGATGTTTTGTCTATAATTGCCTTTTAATGCTGCAGAGAAATTATGCTAGTATATGCAAACTACAGGAGTAGTTTTATTGATATATGGACTGATTCATATATGGAAGACTAACGTGTTTAAATGAGGAGAAAGGATCCGTGTCTTCTTGTGTCTTATATATGCAGTGAAAGCTTATCTGGTTCTAGTTTGTGCTTAAAATTCAAAACAAGGAATCATAATAAGCCCAAGGGTTGTTGGAGTAGGCAAAGCTGGTCCAGTGGTTTTAAAAAAAAAAGTCTGGAATCTGGTTGTTTGAGTTATCATCTAGGACAATAATGGCACCACTCCGTGTCCTAATTTTCTTCTCTGCAAATACAGTTGATAATGCTTACCTGAGTATCTGAGGATATAGCATTAATCTTTGAAAGCACCGTAGAAGCATTGCAGCACTGGAGGACAGCAGAGTCATTAATCTTCTTGAAGATTTCAACTTCTGCAAGCATAATCAAAATAATGAAATCAAAAGAAGATTTTGGAAGATCATGACATGGAATCCGGGTGATCTAATGACTTGTTTTATGCCTACTTGAATTAAATGTAGCTAAATCTGTAAAGCATTACTCTGTGTGTAACATGTGATTGACTAAACTGGATTAGATCTACGAAACATGTGAGTAGCTCACACCAGAAGCTTCAGGGAATGACTGGGCTGCCAGCTTCCTGTGTGCATTTGAATGGCAAGAGGACAAGTGACTGCAGATACTAGAAGTGGAATTTAAGGGCACAGCCAAAGTGGAAACAGAAGTTTGTGCTATCCAGTTTCTCACAGCTGGCTAAGAGATGTGACTTTCATTTTCTACCTATTGAAGAGCTAGGAAGGGAAGGGGTCACTGAAAATATTTTAGAGAGATCTGGTTTTAAAGATTTTTATCTTAAAAAGCCTTCAGTATTTTTGAGTATATTCTTTTATAGGACTCCTCTTTCTCCAGATCATCTCTACCTCCAGAATCCCAATTATTGAATGTTATCTCTCTGCAGTGGAACAAGTCATTGGAAGGTTTTCATTAATTATGAAAAGGTTATGAGAGCCACACAAATGGACACATAATGGACACATAATGGTACCTGCTAAATAAAATTTAGTTCCCACAAAGGAACAGCTACTGTATGCATTTAATTCATGAATATTTTTCTGTACCTTTTATAAATAAAGAGATGCAGATTATAATTTTAACAAGTTTTTGGGTTTTTGTGTGGATGGACACATAAAATGCTTTTAGGAACACCTGGATAGCATGAATATTTTCTTTCTATGTGATCAACTGCTATACTGTTCTTGAAGGAGTTTCATTAGTTCATTCTGTACTGTAATGGAAGTGATTTTGTTCAATTCATTGTTCATGTCATGTTTTTGAAGTCCTTCAGACTTCTCGCCTAAAACACAGACCTGATTCCCGAAGTCTCTAAATTACTCAGAATAATTTCAAATATAAATTTAAGAATAAGCAAAAGTAGGTATTATCTAGAAGAACTTGCAAGTGTTTGCATCCTTTCACAAAGCAACTCAGCTTCAGTCACTTACTACTTGCCTCTGTAGCTGCAGAGGTAATACAGATTGCAGTAAGTAATACTGATTCCAGTAAATTTGGTGGTTGACACTCTGGCAATATGGGCTCAACCAGGCACAAGTCATGGAACAGATCATCCTGAGTGCCATTATGCAGTGCATGAAGGACACCCAGGTGATGAGGCCCAGCCAGCACGGGTTCACGAGGGGCAGGTCCTGCTTGACAAACCTGATCTCCTTCTATGACAAAGTGACCCACTTGCTGGATGAGGGAAAGGCTGGGGATGTTGTTTATCTGGACTTCAGCAAGACCTTTGATACAGTGTCCCACAGTATCCTCCTGGAGAAACTGGGTGCCCATGGCTTAAATGGGCACTCTGCACTGGGTTAAAATCTGGCTGGAGGGTCAGGCCCAGAGAGTGGTGGTGAATGGAGTTAAATCCAGCTGGTGGCTGGTCAGGAGTGGTGTCCCACAGGGCTCAGTACTGGGACCCATTCTCTTTAACATCTTTATCAACAATCTGGATGAGGGGATCGAGTGCACCCTCAGTAAGTTCGCAGATGACACCAAGCTGGGTGGGAGTGTTGACCTGCTGGAGGGTAGAGAGGCTTTGCAGAGGGATCTGGACAGCCTGGATTGATGGGCCGAGGCCAATGGGATGAGATTCAAAAGGCCAAGTGCCAGATCCTGCACTTGGGTCACACCAACCCCAGGCAGCACTACAGGCTGGGGGCAGAGTGGTTGGAGCTGCCGGGCAGAAAAGGACCTGGGGGTGTTGGTCGACATCAGGCTGAACATGAGCCAGCAGGTGTTATGGAATGGACAACAGTAATTATACTGAAATTCTAAGAGAGCTTATGTGTGAGGAGCTGGGTTGTTGAGCTGAGGTGGTAATGATTTTTATGTATTCTCGTTACAGATACAGTTGGTGTTACATTTCTCGTGATTCAGGCATCATCTGTACTCTGTAATATGTCTGCATATTGTGGTTTTCTAGCTGAAGGTGTCCATAATATGATACTTGACATATATTGCTGTTCTTCAGTTGGAGATTTCTGGATGTCAGGTTTAGGTTAAATTTTAATGATGGTTCATTTTCAATGTGGAAGAATGTAATTAAAATATTTAGACAAATTTTATTTTGTCCTAAGTGCATATGTAAGCATCAGTGTTCCTCTTCCAGTGTAAAAATGTGGATGTTTCAAATTGCCACTATGAAGAAGAATGAAGGTTGTTTCTGTGCCTTCCCTGAGAAATTCCATATGTTAACTTTTAAATATTTTTTTAATCCCTTGAAGTCTGAATTTCATTGATTTCATCTTTGCTTTGCAGTGAGACACTGTTCTTGTAAGCATTTTTCCCCTTAAGGTTTTGATACATGTCTTCAACCTTAATACTAGTTCAAACATACTTTGTTGAGAAAAGCTGAAATTCCTATTCCCTGTTAATATATTACTGCTCTTTTTCATGCCAGAATCACAGCATTTGTGAAACGGCCATAAAGAGTTTTCAGAAAACTCTTTGAAAAGTTATATCTTTGTATAGAAATAATTACGAGACTTTAGTAACCTTTCATTGTTTTGTTTTCGAATTTGTAGATAAATCTATTTTCCACACAAGTTTGGTGTCAACTTGCAGTAGAAGTATCTGGACTAGAGTTTAACTCTTCAACACTGTAAGAAGTAGTGCTGGTGTGTGCTATCCCCAAGGTTTGCAGTATTCTTATCCAGAATTTTGATTTAGATCCATCTTTAGTCTCTATGAATCCTAAGCAATGACAATAACATTCTTTTTTTTCTTTTCGTTCTTGAGTAGTTTTCAGAAAGGCAGTGAAACGTTTGCTCTAAAGCAAGCATTGTTTAGTTTGGATTTTTTTCAGTAGTTTACAAATCTGGATGCAATGTAGAGTTGCTATTCTAATCTAAGCCCTGGAAGTTCCTTGGAAAAAGAAAATCACGTGATTTGCTTAGATTTCTCACTTCTCTGCCAGTGCTCAGGGACTAACAGTGTGCTGGGAAGAGGCATTTCCCGGCGGGAGAGCGACTGATTCATACTAGCTCACTGCCTTCGCTCACCATGGAAGCGTTCCAGCACCAGCTACTCACTCTTATTGGGGGTCTGATCTGTTTCTGTGCTCTGGTAAAATGCATCAGATTCATGAAATATATTTTCCCACGTGTCTGGAGTGCTTTGCCTGAGACTTTCTTTCGATCGCTGGGAAAATGGGCAGGTAAAGGAAACCTCTTCACCTTCTTCTTGTAATTGAGTAGTGGATTGTTACATGACTAATGGGGACTGGCTTTCTTTGCATTTCCGTACCCTGTCCCTCCAGAAAAAAACCCAGTTGCCACTAGGTGTGGTTTGTTTAATTTCTCTTTGTTTTTACCTTGTAACTTCAGTTTTATAAGCCTGAAGGTTTTGCATACTTGGGGAAAATAGAAAAGTAGTCAGACTCGTAATAGCTCACACACCCGGTGTGTAGGTGGGAATTCTCCCCCCATTCCTATCTGTGATTTTTTTTCTCTACTGCAAATGCTTTAGATTTAATAGCATTGTTTGTATCTTCAGTTTCCTGATATGTGAAGCAAGTAGTTTATTTGTAGCATACGGTGTCCACCTCTCAAAGCAACTTTTGTTTGTTCCCAGAAATGTTGGTCCAGTGTGTCTTTTCCAAACTGGTGACCTATCTTTAATGGTATCATTAACCAGCCAAATCTACTCTAGCCTAAAAACATCAAGGGCTGCAGCTTGGCAGCACTTTTTGAAATATACTACACATTCTCATAAAATTACAGAAATGTTTAATAAACATCTTTTTCCTCCTACTGTTAGATTGTTAGATTATCAGTGTGAAACAAGAATGAACAGGTATACGGTTTCTGGGCTGCAGATGTCACTAATGAGAATGTCATCTTGATAAGAAGTGACCCGAACAGTACACTTGTGCCTCGTTCCTTTCCCTTGCATTAGACTTCTTGTGACTGGAATGAATATGTGCTAAATGAGCACATCTCACAGCAGGTTAATAAGAAATGAAACCCTTGTGCACAAGACCTGCCCGAATACCAGCTGCTACTGAAGCAATATGTAGGTCTCGTTTTGATTTAAGTGGGGCAAGGATGTCCATTCTGTGCATGGGGTGAGAAGCAGGATGGGGAACTTTCTGTGTAAGATCCTTGTTTCCGCTTGAGGTTGAGAAACTTGTTTCCTTCAGTGGACCTTTTATGTGCTGTCCTTTTGTAAACAGAAAGTCTTAGGGGGCCCTGTAAAATTCATCAGGCTTGCATGATTTGCTGTATCGTGGCACGAGATCCTGGAGAATCATGGAAATTAAAGTTGGCAGGTAGAAGCTTGTTTCCCAGCAGACTTCCAGCAGATGATACCATCTGCGGGTCTGCTAAAAAGCTGAAGATCCACTGCTGCTTCACTGAGGGGTCTCTTTTCTCTGTGAAATGAGAGAGTAATCACTCTTCTGTTGCTAGCAAACCTAGCCGTTCAAAATCACCTTGTTTCCCCAGTGTATCTTGCAATTTTAAAGTCCTTACTCTACACCTTTTCAACATGGACTAATTTTCTGTTTTGCTCTGATAACATGCCAGGTTTAGCTTGAAATTACTTAGATGCTTTTCTCATTAATTAATTTATTTATTTCTAAGTTGATAAGGATCTTCTTTCTGTAGTTCGTCTTTGCTATTTGGTTGTGTAACATTTAAAGTTCATGGTGCTTTACAAATGCCAAAGCTCGTTTATTTTCCCAGCAACACTAAATCTGAATGTAAACTGAGTAGGACGGCACGGAAGGAGACCTTTTTCTAGATGGTGGAAAATCTGCTATATGTTTTCTTACAAACTGATTTCTTCTGTGAGAAATACTCAACTAGTTCTTAACTCCTACCATTCTGCTACCAGCATATGTGACAAAATTGCGAAGCAGAACTTGTAAAAATATGTATATGGAAGAAAATTCTACCATCTCTCAGGCAGCTCATTTGTTGCTGAGGCAATTGTTGCTTAGGTGGTTGATTTGTTGCTTGTTGTTGACCCCACAGAAAATGAGAGTAATAATTATCTACTGCATTAGACAGATTACTGTGGGGAAGGATTTGCTTCGAAGACAAAAAGTGCTAAATGAAGTAATAAAAAGATGACAAGGTCATGAAAAAATACATTTTTTAAGAGACTGATTCTGTCCTTTAGTAGAAGCATTTAGGTTGCAATGTTCAAGAAACACAAATAGTGAGGATTAAAGAAGTCAAGAAAGAACAAGTCAAAGCAAAACTCTAAATACAATCCCTCTTCTTTTTACTTCCTCCAGTGGTCACAGGAGCAGGAGATGGCCTTGGAAAAGCGTATTCCTTTGAGGTAAGACAGATTATTTATCCTTAAGTTTATTTTAACAAAATGGCAATTGTTACTGCTTCATCAGTTTCTGCAAATTAGTTAAATTGCTCTAGGATTCAAAAGCACTGTGACAAACAGGGTGCTAATCCTTCTCCCCTGAATGTCCACCATTAATCAAGTTCTGAAGGGAAACTGCTGCTGCATTTCAGAGGAAAGTCATTCATACCTCAATGGTCTTATCAGACCAAGGAAATAAAATGAGTAATTCTAAAGATTTCACATTGTCTGTCCAGGGTAGGAAGTCTCCTAAATTGTCCTTTTTTTC